ATAATCTCGGAAATATAGATGCGTGCATGTTGATGAGCAGTGGTACATACATGTAGTTCATCGGTATTTACAAACTAATGCAATAAAAGAATGTGTGCAAGTCAGATTCTATTTTATTTGAAGTGCATTTCGTGTACAAATTGCGTAATTTTTTGCCGCCACCTAATTTAAATGTCATGTATAAACTATTGGGTATATTCTTGGCTCGTTTTATCGCAAATATAAGTCTATTATAATACAACATCCATCGGCGTTTGAGGAATATTCTTGTGTATTACCATCATTCATGCCAGTTTCTTGGCGAGTGCATACATGACGCATCCTACATGACGAACGCTCTGGTGACACAGCGGATCCACGTGATGGATGTGGGAGCGCGTCAGCTGAGGGCATCTCCATCTCTCCGCAGCCGCCGTACACGACAAATTCCCTTATGGGAGACAGATGTGTGATGTTGTCTTATGAATTGTGGACAATTCTTAGATGATAACATGGTAATCATATGTAGATCATGGTTTGGGCTTCTGGATTCATACATGGGGCCTACCACACTAAACAAATACGCGAAAGTAATCGTATTCGAGAGTATTCTAAACTCCATTTTACCTCTGCAAATAAACTCCTGTGAGATTCGTTACGTTAAATAAGAAATCGATGTATCCGTTTACTTAATTGTGTTCTGACGTCTCAGTAAATTGCAATTAACCGTTTCCCGCATCGCCACAGATTAAAATTTTTCATTATCGGATTATCTAGTCGATGAACTCTGTTAGCGGCCCCATATGGTGTTGTTATCAAGTTTTATTATGGAATGAGAAAAAAATAATGAAATATTAAAATAGACAATGTAGAATTGAACGGAAAAGATGAACTTGATTACTGGAAGATGCACCATTTTAACATCACCGCAATGCTCCATCTATACTCACATTGAATGCTTAGTCCATTTGTAAATAAGGCGCTAATAAAAAGAAATGAAAGCACGTGACACGCAACTCATTAACTAGCCTCTTATATTGTTAATTGAGAAGATGCACGCCAAGCCAATGAGATTATAGCGGCAAGTTTGTCATGGCTTTCATCATCCCAGACGCGGTGGTTCTCATGCAGCGGGAGCGCCGTCAATTTCCTATGGGTAAGAGACGAACAAGCGCGGATATGCTAGGCAATATCTAATTGTCAAGACATTTGTCGAGGAGAGCACGTAAGGAGCCCTGCCTTCTAATGATCTTGAGGCCATCTTGGTGAGATTTTAATGGCGCGCTAACAAGAAAACCTGCATCACAAAAGGGCGTAAATGTTGCTTTGTTGATGTTATGGACCAACGGCGAAGTTCACGGACCTCCCTGCAAAATTCACTTCATTCTTATAAATGTGAAATTTTCCACGGCTTGTTGGGATCTCTGCCCACATTAGAAGAGTTTAGACTCCTTGCTTATACATATTTACTTCGAGGACTTGGCATGACTTGTTCTGCTTTTAAAACGATGCGGCTTTCTTTGATCTCCATTCCACCGTGGGAATTTTAATAGAGGATTTAAGCGATATATTCTTACTTAGTATTAATAAAACTACAAATTAATGCATAGAAAGCAGGTTCAACGTCGTCATTTCAGCAGAAATAATTGATTTTTTGATGACGTTAAGACTCTTCGTGTACCTAAACATTTTGTTTTCATGACCTTCCTCTCATGGCGCTGTCATATGATACTTAGTGAACATGGACAGCATATTATATTCTTTAATTAGCTTCAAAAATGATTATTAAAAGTTTAGACGACATGCGTTCCGAAATGCGTAATAATTTCATTACTAAGTAGAACCTCTGCATGTAGATATAGACGAATATAAGTTTTTCAGCTTATTTTGATATTTCATGCCTGTTTTAATTACTGTACGATTTTTTCTGTCCTTAAATTCAAAGCCTTAACTGTATCCATCATATTACGCACGTCCTCATGAATTCTGACAGTCGAACAAAACATCAAATAGTTGTCTTTCCTTTTCCATTTAATTTGGGGTGAAGGTTATGCTGCCTAACAATTCAAGATTTGATGTTCAGAAGTAAAAATTTGAAAAAAAATTTAGAAAAAATAAAAATTAAAATTAAAAAAACTAAAAATTCACGTTTTTTAATTATTCACCACGTTTTTCTTAGCTTCGTTTCGTGTCTGTCTGTCATCAATAATTCAAATCTTAATTTAGAGCACTTCTGATGATCCTAGAAACTTGAAATTTGGTATTCATGCTTATGCTGCCTAACAATTCAAGATTTGATCATCAGAAGTAATGATTAAAAAAATTATTTTAATTTGAAAAAAAATAAAAATTCAGGGTTGGGAATCGAGTTTTTTGGTCGAACATCCAGACTTGCCAACCCTGGAAATTGATTTTAATTGCTAAAATTGTTAAACTAAAAAGTAGAAAATAAATATATATAAAAAACATTTTTAAAAGCCACGTTTTTCTGTTGGTTATAAAACTAAAAGATAATGAAATAAAATAAATAAATAAAAACTTTAAAAACCACGTTTTCTTAACGGACAAAAAAGAAAAACATTTACTCCTCCATAACATTACATAACATTTTACATAACTCTAATGTTATGTTAGAGATAATGTTTCTCTTTTTTGTTCGTTTAGAAAACGTGGTTTTTAAAAGTGTATTTTATTTGTTTCATTCAAAATATATAATTCAATACTCACTGCAGTGAGTGACAGAGAGCGCATTTTCTCGTCGACGAAAACGTGAAGTCACGGACGGACAGACAGACGGACGGACAGACAGACATGGCGAGCACAATAGTGCATTTTTCCATATATGAGAAATGCGCTAAAAAGGTGACAAAAGCTGCCCGTGCGACCAACTATCGCCCTGTCAGTTTAACAAGTGCCGTTTGCAAGGTAATGGAATCTGTTGTGAGGGATCGATTGATAGATCATTTGACTGCTAATAATCTCATATCAGACTGTCAACATGGCTTTATTGTTGGGAGATCCTGCACCACTAACCTCTTGTCTACTCTGAGCTGGACGAAAGGGAGCCAGTAGATGCAGTGTACCTCGATTTTGCCAAGGCATTTAACAGTGTCCCACATGAGCGGCTGTTGCGCAAATTGCAGTCTTTGGGAATTGACAGCAATGTACTCAAATGGATCAGAGATTTTCTAGTAGGGAGACGACAACGTGTCAGTATTAAGATGCAGTGTACCTCGATTTTGCCAAGACATTTAACAGTGTCCAACATGAGTGGCTGTTGCGTAAATTGCAGTCTTTGGGAATTGACAGCAATGTACTCAAATGGATCAGAAATTTTCTAGTAGGGAGACGACAACGTGTCAGTATTAATGGGGCCGTTTCAGAATGGGCTTCAGTGCGCAGCGGCGTGCCACAAGGAAGCGTTCTCGGGCCTGTTTAATTCGTTGCGTTTCAAAACGATCTGCCAGAAGCTGTGTCTAGCGTGTGCTCAACGTATGCTGACGACACCAAAATTTATAATACAGTGAAGAATACGTCGCAAAAAGTACAGTTACAAGGATATCTTGACAGGCAGGTTGAATGGGCTGATAAGTGGCAGCTGCGTTTTAACGCTGACAAATGTAAAGTAATCCACCTTGGCAAGAATAATGAACAGCAAGATTACAGTATGAGAAGACACGGTTGTAACGACAGAGTGATGATGTCGAAGTCGATAATGGAAAAAGATTTATGAGTTAATATCGACAATGAGTTGAAATTTTCTAACCATATTGAAGGTCAAGTTAATAAAGCCAATAAACGACTTGAACTGATCAGACGACGCTCGTATGAGTTCCTAGATGCAGAAGCGATGAAGCAGTTGTTTGTTACTGTCGTGCGCCCGAACGTAGAGTTTGGAAACTTCGTGTGGTCAGCGAAACTTGAAAAGGACAAAAATTTAATAGAGAGTGTTCAAAGACGTGCAACAAGATAATTCCGGGCTTGAAAGGCAAGTCCTATGAGGAAAGATTAAAGATTATGAAGCTTCCAAGCCTCAGTTATCGACGTCTGCGTGGGGACCTCATTGCAGCATTCAAATATACTCATGGCTTATACAAGGTCCCAGAAGGATTACTAGAATTTGAAACAAGAACCAACACCAGGGGCCACGGCTATAAACTAAAAAAACTACGTTGTAACACATCCATGCGACAACATTTCTTCTCGCTTCGAGTCACCGACATGTGGAACAGCCTCCCTGATAGCATCGTTGACGCTCCGAGTATGAACGCCTTCAAGAATAGAGTAGACGAAGCTATGCAGGAGCATATGTTCAGTCTTAAAATGCAAATTACGGACCAGGCAATAAGTCCAGCAGCTATCTCAATCAAGCGTCAGTTATGAAAAGATCGGGTTCCAAAGGCCGGACCCCTTGTGAATCACGTCACGAAAAATTCAAGAACCGGCAACAGGCCATGGGCCTATTTCTTCAGTGCCGACACTTCTATTTTATAAGAAGCGCACAAGACTTTTACTATATATACGAGGAAAGCTATTTTGCCCTCTGTGTTATATACTATATTGACTATTGAAATTTATTATATATCCTGCCTCAATGTTCGCATTCACTGGTCAATGGGATTAGATTATTTTAATGTAAGTTTGATCATCATGATGCATACGAGTATATGCAATACAATAATGCAGAGCATTTAAAATATTTACAAGAATTTAAATAAATGATATTATTATTATTTTTGAAAACGTGAAGACTAGAAACACCCGCTATCATCCATGGTTGTGATTATTTTCACTGAATGAATTTTATCTGGAAATTATTTTCAATGTAGCTTTTAGTTTGATAGTTTGTTCTCGATAATTTTCAAGCAGGTTAGCCAACCATATTAGTTTGGTAAATACTGTATCATACCATGCTCTTCGTTTGAATACTAACATTTTAATGAATTACTGACTTAATAATGGGAAGAGATTCTTTATTTAGACAAATTCATATAGATTTCAAAGTTTAATTCTATTTGATGTTGGTACGTCTCACTATCGACATAGCTCGTGATACATCTCAACGTGCGTAGTGTTTCAGGGAAGTGGAGCGGTAAATACTCAAGTTTTGTAGGCTAATTGCTACAAATTTTCATCATTTTTTGTTTCATTCATTGGTAAACGGGTTCTTATATAATCGAATATAAGCAATGGCAGTATCTGCTGCAGCTGCTCTTTTAGACGAATTGATGGGAAGGAACAGAAATGTCAATCCAAACGACTGCAACAATAAATTGACTTGGGAATCGCCTGAGGTGAGACAAAAAAGAATTGCGGTGTCTTGATTGATTTTGTGCAGTGCGTAAAAACGAGTTTCTTGTATATTGTCTCTAATGGTCATTGAATTTTTGATAATCATAAAGTAGAGTCTAGATGAAGACTTGAAGTTGCCTTAACTTCTTAAGCTTAACTCAAGCCTTGAAGGGCGTCGAGGCCAACGTGCTATCTGGTACGGTACCTACTGTAAAATGGGGTGACTTAGACTAATTTTTTTTAAATGATGACATTTTTTACTAGCAAAATTAAACTTAACTTGAAACGTGCAAAATACAGGTCTATAGCTACTCTAGGTTCACTCACCATAAATTGCTGGCTCCTGCCTCTCACAGAATTTATGTAATTTCAAAAAAAGTGATGGTCTTTGTTACCCCAGCTCTTGGGGTATCTTAGACTGGGTGGTAAAATCAATTATATTTATGGTTAAATAACTCCAGGTTTTGGTGCATTGTAGTAGAACTCTTCTAGTTACATATGCAAATGACAAATTTGAGGAAAGAGTCATAGTTTGCAGATAGGGGATGCTGCCCCCAAATTTGGGAACTTAGACGTTAGACCACCTAATGTCAGCTGTGAAGGGGTAATATTGACCAGCTTGGAAATTAGGTAAGTCAAAATTACCGTATATAAGACTCTGTAGAGTCTGAAACATGAAGAAAAAACATTAATAGGTGTATCAAACATGAAATATATTATATATGGTATTGGTAATTTTAAATTAATTTCCAAGCTGCTGCTGGTCTATGTTACCCCAGCAGCCTAGCAGGGCTGACATTAGGTGTGGTCAAAGTTCCCCCATTCGTGGGTGGTGCCCTGGGCCCCATTTGCAAACTATGAAACTTTCCTCAAATTTGTCATTTGCCTATGTAACTAGAAGAGTTCTACAGCAATCCCTTGATTAGCACGGTTTTGAATACCGCGGCTTTGATTAACGCGGAAAAAAAATTTGTGACCTACCCTTAATCTACGCGGTGCCAGTTTTGATTAGCGTGACTTTTTTTCACAACGCATCATTTTCCCGCCTCTAGCCAGAGGTGTTACGTTCGTAACAAAAGTGTTACTTTTTGCTTATTAGATCATTCGAAACATAATTCAGTGCGTAAAGGGCTAGTTACTCGTTAGCCTTCAACTGGTCAAGATCGCTGCCATATCTACTGCTCACTTTTATCAAACTACATAATTTTCCTTTCCTTTGCTATTTTTGAGGATTCTTTATAATTATTCCCATATATTCTTAAGTTTGATAGCGCGGTTTTGCTTAACACGGTAAAACTCAGGGATTTATTAACCGCGTTAATCAAGGGATTGCTGTACTACAATGCATCAAAACCTGGAGTTATTTTACCAAAAAATAAGAAAATTGGAGGGGGTTCTATGACAGGTTTTTAAATAATAGCTCTTTTTCGCGGGTCACATTTTTCAGTTTTAAATAATAGCTCTTTTTCGTGGGTCACATTTTTATTTTTAACCTATTAGATATGCATAATTTTTTTATCTTTCTATTGTGTTACGTAGCCTCAGCATTAGTAGCAGAGCCATCAACAATCCTGCCATTTTAGAATTGGGCATTTCCTGACTGAAATTCCTAATTTTTAGAAGAGTAGTTTCATTGCATGCCAACTGCCTCCAGGTTTTAAACTACAAAGATTCTATTCATTCAATTACTATTGCAACAGAAGTTGTGAAGTTTAGAATAATAATTCAGATAATGGGATCTCACATTGTTCATGGGGTTCAACATGCATATTCTTTTACCTTAACATTTAAGAATTAAAAATGTTGTGCAATTAAATTTCTAGAATAGAATGATATGTATAATCAATTGAAATAAAATATTTCATTGTGGAGAACAGTTAAAAATAAATGTGAATTCCCAGATGATAATTCTAAGCATCTGCTTCTTGGAATTATTTAAGATTTTGGAATGATTTGAATTCACTCTCATTTTATAATCATCATTGTAAAACAATTTAAATAAACATAAATTAATACAATATAATAGTATGATCTGATGTTAGTTGATTGGCATGGCATCTTGTCCCTTGATAACAATTGAGACTTAGTTAAAGATTGGCATTGTTAGCTCTTGCTATTGGCAATAGTTCTGTTGTGATTGATTTTCAAATCATACATGTCTAAGTGTTCCTATTAATTCTGAATACTTGTTGTTATTTATCTATTAACCTTTTTGTCTCTATGCGGATAATCATATTATTTGAAACCATTTTTTTTGCTGCAGGTGTGCAAGCATTATTTGGTCAAGTTTTGTCCCCACGATCTCTTTACAAACACCAAGTCTGACTTAGGAATCTGTGACAAGGTGAGGTTGTAGGCTTGGCATCCGTCTTGGTTACAAGTTAGTCATTAGAATGAGTAGACTTTTCTTCTTCTCATATCTACTTTACTATTTATAATTAGGTGAATATGTTATAATCATGACTTTGCTAGAGCTTCTATGTAGTCTATGTAAGTATATAAGGCTTTTTGCATTTCTATGGCTTTGTCAAAAATAAATATTTAGTTCTAGCGGATGACTCTCAAACTTGGAAAATTTCACTTGCTCAGCATTCTCATTTGAATGTTCAAGTTATTAAGAGTAGAGATAGATGAATGGGGCTATGCAATTATGAATTTCTTGGGGAAATTGTTTTCCAGTATGAATCAAATTTCAATTTTAATTATTATTATTATTAATTATTATTCAATTATTATGCAAATTAAGTTTTGTTTGACCATATTATGTAATGTGAGTAAATGACAACTTTCATTTAAAAGTAATTTATGAAAAATTCTCATTTCAACACTGAAATGTCTGAAATTTCTCATTGGTGACTTCAGATCCATGATGAAGACATCAAACGGGAGTTTGATGCCTCAAACACTCACCGAAGAGCTGCATTTGAAGATGACTTCATCCGTTATGCAGATACAATGTTGGTGGATGTGGATAAGCGCATTAGGAAAGGACGGCAACGATTGTCCCTCTCAGTGAAAGAAGCTCTGAGTAATGTCACCACTGGGGATGTTGCTGTTGATGAGCAAATAGAGCTTTTATCTGAGCGCATCACAGGGCTTGTAAATGAAGCTGAGAGACTTGGCAATGAAGGCAATGTGGAAGAAGCTCAAGGACTCAGCAAGCTTTGTGATAAGCTAAGAGAGGAGCGAGATCAACTCAGGAAGGCTCATGAAAATACTGTTTGGCACCAGGTTAGCTATGTGCTGTATGAAATTAGATTTTTCTGATAACATTTTTTGTATTCAAACTCCTATATTTATGGATCAATTTGAATGGAATTAATCAAATTTTTGCATTAAGCTGTACATTTATTTATTTGAATTTCCGTTTTAATGAGTGAAATACGAGTTACATGAAAAATCAACATCCGAATTGTTTGTTGCCTATATAAATGTATGTGTATCCAGAATTGAAAGGTTCCACTTATCTACTCTACGATTTTATTATAAACTTGTTGAGTATTCATACATTTGCTTGCTCACTGATCACTCAGTGTCTCCACCAGGCTGCTGAAATGGCTGCATCTCAAGAGAAGCAAATGGAAGTCTGTGAAATCTGTGGGGCGTTTCTGATTGTTGGCGATGCACAGCAACGCATCGATGACCATCTCACTGGGAAGCAGCATATGGGCTTTGCCAAGCTCAGGGATGCAATCAAAGAAATAAAGGATGTAAGTACAAGCATGCGGGATGAGGAAGTTCTTGTGTTTCTCTTCTAATTTCTTCTATTACTTTAATAAAACAAAACTTCTTATACCAAGGGAATTTATGAGTTCATGCATGTCAAGTCAGTAATCAGTAAGGGTGAGCATAAGCAACTTGTCTGCAAAATCATGCTTTAAACAGTTTACGACAAAAACTGAAGGATTCTTACATGCAAGATTAGGTTTTCTGATACTCAACTTCTGCCCCTCTTTCTATCTTTATTCATTTCCTAAAAAATCATCAAAATGTGTACCTGTATCCATAAACTGCTCTCTGCAATAATTTAACTGTCAATAAAAATGTTCGGTAATAGTTCTTATGTTCAGCTCCTGCATCTTCAAAAAAATTTTATTTGCAAGAACGTTTTGCAGGCTCGAGAGAAGGCTCGAGAAGAGCGGGAGAAGCAGCGAGAAAAAGAAAGAGAGGAGAGAAGACGCCTGCTAGATGAGGAAGATAAGCGCAGAATGGGTGGCGCTCGCGATGACAAACCCAGGTAATTATGAAAAGGAGCCTATTATCAAAAGTTGCCCAAGTATATGACTTAAACTGTCGCGGCCTATTTCTCGTCTGTGATTTTTGGGTTTAGATTGGAAACCGTCAATAATTGACTGAAAGAGTAACTCGTCACTATTTTGCTAGTGTGATCTCAGTGTGTAGTCAATTTCACACTTCTTAGAGCTTTAACTATATATGAAATTACATCTAAGTCTTGGATGATTGAGAAGGATTTGAGGGTTCGCTTGCTTAAGGTGGTACCTAGTAGAAAAATTGTGAAAAATTGTTATCAATTAATGTCAGTCTAGACGAATTATAATGAAATAGTAAAATATTTCTGTATTTTCTATTGTTCACCAATGTGATGCAATTACTAGATGGAAAATTTTTTGTTAAGGGGAAAATAATTTGCAAAAACTTTCCATAGTTCTATTACTGTTTTTACTGAAATTACTTGACATTTTTGTCAGTGGCAGGGATAGCCAGTTTGGTTGTTTTGTGTTGCAACTACCGGTATTTGAATGCGATGCGCAAATAATTTCTTTGTGCATTGACGGGTGTGAATGCTTAAAGAACATCTCGTTTTAATTCATGTATAAAATTATTTCTATTCTTTAATTATCTTGTCAATTTATGTACTCGCTTATTTCCGGTTTCCATTCAGTGGTATCATTTTCATCGTGGATATGAACACACTTGTCTCAAGAAAAATTTGCTGCAAACAACTTTTGTAGTGTGAAGAATGATTGTTTGATTGAAGTCCCCAGAAGTTACTTTAGTTATCAGTTGAAATTAGCTTCTTGTTCGTAGTTTTTTTTAAGGGCATAACTATCTCTGAGAGTAAACAAAAGATAACAACAACATTTTTGCTACAGGGATGTCCGCCCTCCTCGAGACGATCGCCGAGACCGCGATGCTGTAAGGCGCGATGATCGTCGAAGTGATCGAGACCGCGACCGCGACCGTAGTCATCGCGACCGTCGCAGTGATCGGCCCGATCGTGGAGATCGTGATCGTAGCTCTCGTGACTCTCGCGACCGTTCGTCAAGGGATCGATCGTCAAGAGATGGCACTTCTCGCGATCGCAGCTCTCGTGATGGCAGGAGATACAGGGACGACGGTTACTACGGTTCCCGAAACGGTTCCGGCAGGTAGTAAGCTGGTATTAAAATACTTCATGTGTTACATATTCATTTTAATTTTATATATGTTTATATTGTATCATGTAGTTTTGAACTGGTGCGTGTATCACCGCCTCGTGTCGTTCTGCAATGGTTTTGATTTTATTTTTAAAAAGAAGTCCTCTGAGATCTAGTCACATGATTAATCCAAGTTGTCCTATGAAATCGAGTCACATCGCTAATCAAGTTGTCCTCTAAGATCTAGTCATACGACTAATCCAGGTTGTCGCTGACATAAGTCACATGACTAATCCAAGTTGTCCTCTGAGATCTAGTCACACGACTAATCCAAGTTGCATTTGTGAAATTTGACACCGTTTACAGTGATGTCACCAAATTATTATGGAATCATGATTAAGGTGATGTTCTTTTAGCAAGATTCCTCTTTTTGTGTACTAATCATTCTGCTAACGTTACTGACTGTTCTCCAAGAACACTTCAGATAAAACTCCAACATCGTAAAATCGTTTGCTTTTTGCATAAATGGTCCCAACCACTCTGCTTTGACCTCATTGGCACGGCAAATATACTTTCGGTGTCCGCCTACTCACACTGTCAATAATTTTCAATAAATATTGAATAGTATAGTGATTTTCTAGCCGTGATGTCAGCATTAGTTTAATTTATGTTGACCCGTTTTTAGTGATCGGTCGTCACGAAATGTATGACGAGGTTACGATGGATTAGTTAAGGCAGAATAAAAGTACAATCTTGTTGGGTAGTGTTAGTTTTTCACGAATCTTCAGGCTTGTATATGTTGAAATTGGTTATTCCGATTCATTTACGCTTTCAGTTTTTATTTTTCAAATACTTGTAATCCGGATTAAGTAAAGCATCGGTTAGCGTGAATTTAATATACAAAGCAAGCGAATGCATTTAAGAACGCTTGAACGAACGATAACTATTGCATCTATGAACTAAAGTCACCGCCATGCAGGTAAACTCTCCAAGTTTCTCTGGACTACAATGCAACCCAAGATCATCGCACATCATCTTCAATTACTGCTAAGATGCTCAACTGTACATAGTTATTCTACTTTTCGTTGAAGACTGCCTGGCCTTGGAGTGAGAAGTGGGGCTGTCGGTGCGGAGTTGTGGCAGTGAGTTGCTCGCATAAGTCAGGTAAGTCCCATTCAGGTATGCCCTGACTGATAATGAAAACGTATAAAGTTGTGTATTTCTTTCCAGGCCGACCCACGTGTCAGGTGGGTGAACTCTAACACTGCCCTGAAAACTACAAATTCTCCCTATAGAATCAGCTGTGTTTTACTGCATACTTATTGAAAGAAGTTGATTGACCGTTAGCTTTTGATGATGTTTGGGTTCGAGAAGGAAATGTAAAAATTATGATTGGATCCTGAGTAAGTTCCGTCAGGGAGTTTAGTGTCGTCAATCGTCGAATCAAGATCTAGGCACCTGTCCCTTTGAAAAATTAATTCCAAACAAATTGGAGGCTCGGTGAATTACTTGATTGAAGGTATGAAAGGAACTGGAACTCGCATCATTATTGAAAGATAATATTTCTGAAGAGCAATAAATTTTAGCTGCCAGTACAATGAACTTTGATTTTATGTAGACTAGCTTCTGGAAGATGCAATTTTTCGTTTAGACGGGTTATAAAGTGTTACTTTGTCCCCTGGATTTACAAATAAGCATTCATTCCTAATTCACACCTTAGTAATATTATTCTGGATTATAGTACAATTTTTTCATATCGAGTTTGTGGTTCATGGTAGCGAGATGTGGTATAAATAATTATCCACGATACTACATTAATTTTAGTTGAGGAATAGTGTGTCAAACTCGTAATCATTAATGATTCATGCATTATTTGTTGCCATTCAGTGTTTCAAGATAGCCTTGTGTATTTGTATTTGACCGTGGAGAATTTGAGACCACTAATATTTTACGAAAGATCTAGTTCAATCATTTTTTATCATTGTTAGGTAGCAGGGACCTTGGCGTTGGGTGGAATAGGTGTCTAAATACTGTGCCATGTTACCATTCTTTTCAGCTATGCGAATGATTCTCCGGATAAATGAGGCTAAAGTCCCATTGTCCATTAACTGTGATACCTATCTTCCATTGTATCGATATCTTCGAACGAGCGTTCCTTCATCCGTCGTGATGTCGACTTTCTTGAGGTATCTTGAGTTCTCTAGCCCTGAGCATCGTGACCGATGCAATATTTAATTAATATACCATTATCTTCTTTGAAACGCTCTCACGACACGAAATTATCTCCATGTTAAATAACGAGGTGTCAGTGTGAAGTTAAGCAATCTGACTAAGAATAGCCTTTTATCTGTTTCATAGTTTCCACTTGAGTAATTTGTACTGTTTTTAGTTCATGGGGCGTCTCTCGAAAGCCCCGTGATACTTCTTCTAGTATGGCTATGGCTAGCAATATATTGCTCAAATTTTGAGATATTGGAGCTTTATTGCATTTTTAGTTTCGGAATAGCTGCTGGTTGTAACCAGTAATCAATTGTACGAAATTCAATTTCATTGAAAGCTCTGGGAGTTTTTTTTTTTGGTTAAGCGACGAAAATCACCTTACGTCACCAGGGATCATTCCTTATGCAACGATTGCTTTATAGAACAGACACAAGCAGGTTTTTTTGATTGATTATCCATTTCTTTGTAATAGGCTAATAGCTGACACTGGGGTTTAGTTGAGCGTTCACTTCTACCACGTACAAACTTAGTGCATGTTAGTGATGGTATTGTGTAAGTTGCATCGGTTAATTTCATCACCTCTCTTAAGAAGTTGATTTCTGAAAATCAATTATAATAAAAGTGTAGGATCTTTTTCCAGTTACTTTCTACGTTTTTGTGACATGAGCTCACTAAATGAGACCATGCTTGGGGATTAATGTTGGCATGTTTCGAAATTGTTTATGGTTGATGTGTGTGTAGGTTTAATATACTACTAAAGCCTTTTTGAGTTGGCCTCATTTGTTTTCAGTATCAAATAACTAATGAATGAATGGCTTTTGCAGAACTCGTTGCCGTCGCAAGTAAGGCAGGAGTTTGAATGCAGAGCTCCATTTCTCTACCGTCCATCAGCTGCACCACCACAACGCCTGTTTGACGTGCATGCACAAGGTGACCACACTGACCCTCCCTCCTTCTGTCCCTCCAACCATTGGTCATCACTTGGTTTCATTTATATTATTATCATTATTGATTGATATCTCAATTACTGACGAGTTACATTCGAACTATTGACCACTATTCTGTCGCTCTTTCTTGTGAAGTTCTTTGCGTATTTACGGATGATGTGCGTTGATATCAGGGTTGCATCAATGCTGATTTATGTTAGATAATTTACGTGATATGCTTGAAAGTAGGTAGCGAAACTTCGATAAGATTTACATTAAGCATAACTTTAATGTAACTTTGTATCATAGCTCGTTAATTTCTCCCTCTCTGGACCCTGTTCGCGTTTTAAGCATCACAGCGCGGCCTTTCGTTTAGTGCCAGATACTGCTAAATAACGCGTGATTTTGAGGTATGTTGATGTCACTTCATTCCGACGCTTCGTGCGCATGTCTTCATGTCGGTCTTCAGCTTTTGAGGTGTGTTGAAATGACATTAATTTCCCGTGCGTAGATATCATTTGCCCATTTCTCGTTCGGTTTGATAATAAAACAAACATAAACTTCAACGACGTAAAGGAAATGCAATATTTCCGAAGTTAAATAGCAGTTGGCATTTAATTTAAATCGGGATATGAATGATTTTTGTAACGAAAAATTAGATTAAGTTCCATGTTTTGCATTATTCTGCACCGTCCTTGTAACTGCCACTGCGAACGGCAAGGTGAGACGATGTTAGTTGTCTAATGTTGTACAATAAAATTTATAAAACGACTTTTTTTACCTATCAAAACAACCTTTAATGTCGTGCAATATAAGGCAGGGTTCGTACCGGTATTTAGAAAAAAAAATTCCATGACTTTTCAATGACCATCAATATAATTTTCTAAGACTCTTATACGACACTTAGTATGACTGAGAAACTAACCGTGCATATTCTATCATCTCCTACAGTTGATAAATAGCAAACGTGTAAATGCATAGTGCAGGCAGACACAAAGGAACAGAAATGACACAAATCTGAACAAATCAAGCTCATACTTTCATTATTATGAATTCAATATTGTCAAATCACTACATATATTGAGTAATGCACACCAGATTGTACATGATAATGTCTGGTCGATACAGTTTCGAATTCAACACCACTACCCTAACATTCAACTGGCAGCTATTTAATCGACTTTTTTTTTAATGTTCAGTTCAAGAGTGTTTAGCTCCTGTTTGTTTTCAAAGATCGCCTCATGGCGTTGAACTTTGCGATAATTTTCAAATCCTTCTTTCTCTTCATTGCTTCTGGATATTCATTTTCTGCTTGCTCAAGCGCCTTGATGCCCTCATCCATACGCCTTTTCTTCTTAGTGATGTCGGCTCTGAAGTGTAGGCCTGATATGGCCTCTTCAGTTCATCTAGCTCATCCAACAGCCTTCCTCTTCTGGGTTTTCTGGGCCTTCGCATTCTGCTCTTTCTCTTCTGCCAAATAAGTATTGTAGGCTGTTTTGGCACTGCCAGCTGCAAGCAGAATCTTCGTGGTGATGGTCATTTTGTCCAGGCCACTAACATCTGCTACATGATCAACCACAGCACGCAGGACAACCACAGTTCGCTCTTTCATGTTGTGCGTCATGATTTCCTTGTTGAACGAAAACCCTCTCTCAACCGTGCCTTGGCCATGAGACAGCAGCGTGAGCATCTGCACTACATTCAGAGCTTCTTGTAGGTGCTATTTGACAGAATGGCATGCCAAAAAGTGTCCATATCGATCAGAAGTTGAAAATACTTGAAACTGTGCACAAGCAGTAAACACGCGCAGCACAGAAAAACATTTCTTTTTTTCATTAATTTGCAACTTACAGGATTTTCCATAATCTGAAATGAAATCCAATGACTTTCCAGGCCTGGGAAAGAAACATCAAATTCCATGATTTTCCATAACCGGTACGAACCCTGATAAGGATATGGAAACTAACGTAAACGATAAATGTATATATATCCATATATAATTTCCTTTTTTTAATAGGTTAAAAGATGTCTATTGCTGATAGGAGATATTTTTCGGCATATATCACAAGAAAACTTAATATCGTAGGAGCTGAATAAGTTTTACAAAAATACTCTTATTTACACTGGAGAAAGGTGACGAATAATTTGATGGTATAAATTGAGCCAAAGTATACAAACTGGTAACTATTTCTGTAGCATTTGGGTTACGAAACAATGGTACAAATTCACGGGAGTATCTTAGTTTCGAAAAAGAGGCTTCAAGAGGTTCGTCGTAATGTTGTTTCCCGAGATGTACGAGAAATTTACAAATTATCCCAGTTTGATAACTAAGTCTTATGTCGATGAAGAAACGGGCTATATGAACAGGCGTTACAATATAAACGTATGACATAACGTTGAGTGCAGAGATATAAACTTCAAATGATTTCTCAGATAACTTCATTAATCACTGATGAATAGTGAACGCAATATGCGTCTATGTAATTGAGTCCACACTGAATAAAATTTACTTTGCATGCAATATATACAAGCTAAACATGACGGCGCTTAGACGGCTGAAGCATATTGACTGTAAAGCCATGCCCGTGTGTACATCGTTGCAAATACTCCTCTCGCACGATTCTGATCGATACCAGGAATCTTTTCATTAACACGTTGACTACGAAGTGGTATATATGCGTACCACGAAATGTATTTCTTCAGGACGTAGTGGTACATAATTCAGGTTGCCTAAAATCGGCCAAATCTGAGAACAAAAAAGGCCGATAACTCAAAATATACTAGATTATTTGTAGGTTCCACTATAAAAATTTCATTCGTTTTTTTGCAGTATTTAACATTTAATTAGGAAGTACCCCAATCATAAATTTTAGCCGGCCAACGCAATTGAGAAAAACTAAATTACAGAATTTGTCCTGAAAAAATGGCCGTCTGGCAACCCTGTTTAAAAACAGTACAAAAAATGAAATAATCGTACAAGATGAAGCAATCGTAGTCAACGTGTCAAATGAAGTGTGCCGCTCTGCCTGTTCATTGGAAGACATGCGACATAATATGATGTATTCTGATAGTGTATAATGCTCGCGCAAAAAAAAAACTCTGGTCATTTCAGCAACGAACTATTCATACTGTTTCTGGGACGTGCAACTTCTGCCTGCTTATGAAACTAATACATTTTTAGACGCTTTATGTTTCATAAGTAGTGGGTTGAAATTTCAATTTACTCGTTGGAGAGCTTGTACCGGCAATACAAAATATTTTTTTCAACTAATCTACCAAGCAACAAATTTTCTTATACGTATACCTTCAATACCAATTTTAAGGCAGTTCAAGTCAACTATTCCTCCATTAATTCTATAAATTGAGCAAAACGGTGGCATTCCTTCACAGTCGGCTACTTAGAATAATTCTGCCTCGCTATTATTATCGGTAAATGAACAATACCAAAGAAAAACACGAAGTTCAAGAATTGTGTGCATGTGTTTAGCAGACTAAAAGTAAACTCGGACGTAAAAGTAAATCTGAAGAGTCAGAATGATCTGCATGTAGAAACCTTAACGAATCTATCAAAAATGTCGAAGTTAACTTTTACATGTCTTCATGACACTACATGAACCGATTTCTGTATATGAAACTGTTGGAGGACTAAAAATTTATGATAACACAAAACAAGTTTCGGGCAGTGGATCATTCAGAGAGCATTACAGTCTCGCTTCAAATTCATCCGATGTCAGGATTTACTAGAGCAATAGGAAATGTAAAAAAAATGGCAAGTATGACTGCCAAACCTCTAAGCTAAGCCAAAGAAATTTCAAGACTAACGTACCCGAGCACATAAATTGGCGGAACATCTTATAATTCTACGATTTAAATTTAACTTAAACTATTTCATGCCATATAAATTGCTGCACATTTTTATCGTTTCTTGGCGCAATGCTGACTACAGAAATTCAACGCACGTGTTAGTGAGTTTATTTCCTTACGAATCGACAGCACAGGCGCCATGAGACCAGAGCTGTAGGCTAGAACCAAATTCCAATCGTGTTACCATTGTGTGTAAAATTTATCTTGACTTAGAAAGTAATGCAGTCGTTGAAATGAAAAAGTTTTAATAGCTTTCAATCTAAAAAAAAAAAACATCCGCGCAGCAGACGTTTTTTACAACATGACTATCTGCAGACACATGAACTTGATCATCACATTTTAGGAGATACTTACTTATTTCCAGCACTTGACCGTCCTTTGAATGATTGATTATTCAAATGACTAGTTATCATTGACAAAAAATTAATATTTTATGCCACCAAAGCGTTATTAAGTTGGGATGCTTGAACGATCTCAAGATTGGAGAACTAATAAATTTATAATTATTGAATGATCAGATATGTTGCTTATGACCTGGTAGACTTACTCATTTACGACGAGGAGTTAGGCAATTAATAAATAAGACGAAAATACCAAATTAAAGTAACACGATTAGCTCCAGCTATCATATTTGTAAGACTAATGATCACAAAAACGTACATCATCTCATGATTACACTTAACAGCATTTACAGTTATACGTAGTAGGTAGAAAACTCAAACCAAGAAACTTGATAGGAAGAGTAAACTTAAAAAATATGCTATAGAAACTGCAGTATAGAGAGGGTCGATCATTAAAATTGAAAGATATATAATCGAGGAAGAACATGCACGGGCTAGAGGAAGAAAGTCATGATTAAATAAGTTATAATCAGCCGCACAAAGATCTATGAGGTTGATACGTAAAAACCGTATACACATCCAAGACAGATGAGAGGATATAAAACGGTAACATCAAGAAGCCGGTATAGAATTAACAACTACTATTGAATGACAGTTAACGAGATGTGAGAACAATCAACATTCTTGTGATGCCTATATACAGTCGTTTCCAGACGCTTAGAAGTAATTCCTTCAAATAATGAATGGAATGGCAGATTTCATATAAAGAGGAATACTCTTTATTAGCACCCAGGTAGGCCTTAAACACCACGAAATTAACTTATAATAAAGAACCAGCCCTCCATCTATTCATCTACCATTGATAAACTATGAAATTAGAGGAAATCAACAACATGTTCTACCAAATGCAGAAAGTGAATCCAGAAATAGTTTAGAACTGAGGGAACAATCTTGTAACCACAAAACCGGCTTTTTGGCACACGCTTTAATAAATAACGATTCAACACGTTACAAAGAAAAAAAAAAGCTTCCAATTTATAACTAATTGACCTTAGCATGTGCTTACGATCGGAAGTTTCCAACTTGCATAGGAAACGTATCATTAATAAAATGTACCTCCAAGGTCACTGAAGCAAATCGTTGTTTCCAATCGTGCAGAAATTGTATCGTTTCGACGAGCACATTCTGAAAAGCAAATCGCTGTGAAGGCGCTTCTGCTTGCCATTAGATTGCCCTTAATAAACCATTTCGCAGACGATACTTAATTGAACTCTGCCATGTAGTCGGTGACAGTCCCGAGACCGTAGCCTTCCGCACCTGCGCCGTCAGGCCCTGAGCCTGCAGAGGTGCAGAGGCCATCAAGACTCTGAGCGAGCTCGTCGAGGCCGCCACTGGTGCGACCACGGCGACATTTGTCGATGACGTTGTTTACGAAATCAGTCGTCTGACCCGCGATTTGGAATGCTGCAGGAGTCGTCATCATGAATGTGAGAATGAAATGGTAGCAATCTAAATGTAAATCGTAATATACAATATATGTAACCTTAGCACTATTTTTTAAATATATTAAATCTTTAAATAATTTTTCGGTTCGTTGAATCTTTATCGACTGTAAGACATAGATAGACCCGTTGGAAATAATCATCGTTTATTACTGAAATTTTCAAAGTATTTGTAGATGCATAGACAGTTTGACAATTTTTATTTGTAAAAATGGAACACAATTAACTGAACTCACGTTTATTGGAAGACAAAGCGTTTAATTGCTCGGTGAGCTGCAACTGAATTTTGACAGCGTTTTCCACGTCACTGGAGACTTCTTTGCGAAGCAAGTATTTCTTGGCAAGTATAGCACGGCACTGGCGCACTTGTATCAAAAGAAGTTTGTGTTCTTCTCCAAGCCCGTACAGTTTAATCTTGTTAGCTTCATGCTGAGCTTTTTTCTTCAGACGACAAGCCCTGCAAGAGAAAACAATCAAGTACAAAGCGTTAAAGCGTTAAAAATTGACTAGGGTTGAGTCATTGAAAAAATTAATTTCGCTCGTGAAAAATATTACAATATTTCAAAAGCATGATTCGACTGCTCACCTTGATGCAAGTTTGTTTTTCTCTTTCCGCGACTTCGGTCGGATGTGGAAAGGCTGCTCCGAAACTGGGGTCATGTCCATGATCATCTAAAACAAGTTAAATTAGCAAAATAATCTAATTGAGTTTGAGCAGTTTGTTTTAAATAAAAAGAATTATGGAACTATCGTAAACTTGACAAGCTAGAAAAAAATGTCAATTCCGAGCAGGTTCGATTCATCAGGAACGTAGCAATCCCGGCAGAGATAGAATTTAGACAAATAAATCTTCCTAATGTGACTCTTTAACTCCTGCATCACTTGATGGTACCATCACGCTACAAGTTACAAAAATTGAAAATTCCTTCAAAGCCAGGAAAGTTATAATATATGAACAATTAAATTAGCCCGCAAAATATAGCTTCTACGCAACCCAACTTAGCTTGATGCTACGAAATGGAACTTTCATTAATCATCTGCAAAGCGCAGCTTTAGCATATTCTCTGCCACGCTCTAAAATTACGAGACAACGTCTCTTTCTGATCTTTTCTACGACGTATACAATACTCGCTCAAGATAATGTAAAAAACTCATGATACAGTATTGTATAACATCTAAATTAAATTATTCTTTGTAAGACGCAACACTAGTAGGAAGATAATTTTTATTTAAGGCCTTAAGCCCAGTAATTTGAAGTAATATCAATTATTTCAATGGCATTAAATGCGACGCATACCTTATTCAAAGCGCCAAGTTGTTTTCCGATGTTGACCAACTTGACTGGATTTGGACTAAGATCATTGCCATCACCTCGACGAGCTTTCCCACTGCGAGTAAACATTCACAAATTTTTAAATACATTAAGAGTATACGAACTGAATATAGCTATATGAAAATTATTTATGAAAAATATACTAAATATTACCTACCTACACTTAAACTGAAGATGTTGACACTTGTTACAATATATAATCCACTCCGTTATCAAGCTCGAGCCTTCCATTCGTTTACATCAATTGTTCTTTTTTGCAGTCAATTTGATTTTCATAACTTGCACTCTTGATTTTACAACACACTGATATTTTATAACCTACTACTATTTAACACGCATGATGAACTCGAATGATTAAAACGTGTGCTTCGTCGGCCAGAATTCTGTTCACCAGAAGTTAATCCCTTGAACATTACTCGTATTTAATATCCTGAATATTATCGATGTTTAATGCCTTGAACATAACCAGTGTTTAATGCCTTGAACATTACCTATGTTTAATGCCTTGAATGGAGCCCACAGCATGAGAGAAGACAGGGTCAGCGATGGTGACCAGCTGATGAGGATCAGTCAGGTGGGGCTCCAGACTAACGCGTTGGCCCTTAGGTCCTTTAGCTTGCACGTTGTACTGCCAAAAGTGGCGTTCTTTGCTGCGGGCGCCACTGTTTGAACCAACAGAAGTTCCAAGCAGGCTTGTGTCTTGCATCATTGATGACTCTGTACATCAAAAATAATATAAATCCTCTACTTAATAATTCCTAAGGATCATAAGTCTTTAGTTAAAAATATCAGAAATATGTTTGAATTTTCAAATTAATGACACAACACGAGTAGAGTACGATCAAGCTATGTTGTAGACAAACCGTAGTCAGAGTCTGAATCGTAGTTCACTTCGGATTCATCATCCGAATCCAAGAAGCTCTCATCAATGCTCAGCTCAGGAGCGGGCGAGGCCAAACCTGAAAAAAAAACACTCGAGTCAAGGAACATTGATACCAAGAAGTACGTAAATTTGCCATCTAAAATTAAATAAATATTTTTTTATTACAGCCCCGTGTAAACTGTTCTGAATTAAGCAGATAAGTAAGTAGTAGCAGGTATTGTTTAGGCATACCCAAAGATGATGACGATCCACCGAACGGCTCCTCAGCCAAAGAACTCGTTGACAAAAGATGTTTTCTTGGCTCGCGTCGTCCCCAGATCTGCTCCAGCATGTTAGGCGCAGGGGCAGAGGATGACAATTGCGTATTAGTGGCAAGCTGAGAGTTCTGGAGATGTATTCGAGATCCATGATGTGCACTTGTAGTAAACTGCGACGCTAGACCATTATTTGTTGGGACACTCTGGCCTACAGGAACAAAAGACTGCTGGTCGTCAAAACCAGTGATTTGACTGGAAGGAGAAGAAGCGCAGTTGAATGGAGAATGAGCCAATAAAGGAGAATTTGCAGTTCCCGGCGAACACACAGGGAGAGGTGAAGATGAAGAGACCGGAGAGGAAGCACTTTGAGGCGAAATAGGAGAAGCGATGGGAGTTGGCGACTGAAGCATTTCTTTCAAAGTAGAATGCATATGAGATCCGGACTGAACAGGCGTGTTGTTTGGTGTGCAAGGAAATGATAAAGCATATATGTCTCTCTGAGATGGAATTTGCTGCCGAGGGGAAATGTCATGCGGGATTTGTTGTTTCTGTTGATTTACCAACAGTTGAGTAGGTGAAAGCGCTTTTTGATGATGAACGTGTCGTGGAAGGTGCAATGAATGATGCTCGCGATATTTTGACGGCTGATTTGTCTGGTCCTCCGTTTTAATGAATTGAGTAGTTTGTTGCAGTTTGTGTAATTGTGCTTGCTGCTGGTTTTGCAACAAGTGACTTTGCTGGAGCGATGAGGCTTGAGGTCGTTGAACATGTTGAAACTGGTGCTGTTGTTGTAAGACAGTAGTGGGAATAGACTGGCTGACAATTGGTTTATTGCCGCGACTTAGGAGCTGCTCCAGTGTCTCGTGCATGCCTTGATCACGCACTATAGAAGGTTCTGGTGAAGAATTACTGTTTAACATAAGAGATTGGCTTGAAATTAGGCTTGGAGAAGTATTATTCTGAAATTTCACATTGGACGAAGAGTTGCTCTGAAAGGTGTCTCGCCAAGCTGAATTGGGAGGAGGGAAAGAGGAAACTACAAAAGAATCAGAAACGTCAGTTATTGGTTCAATTTTAACGGAGCCTCCAGATACGAGTCCAGAATAAATACCACCACAGCTGTTTAACTGGGAATGTAAAAAGCTGCTGTCAGTGAAGGACTGAGAGTGCAACACCTGCTGCTGAGAACTCGATGGCTGATGTTGCATTTCAGAAGACTGTTGGTTGTCCATAATATGATCATCTTGATTGTTTTGGTAGTTCATAGCAGGCTGCAAGTCAGAGTGGATAGCAAGGCCAGATAGAGAGGATACACTGTTGCCACTCCCTGCCGAGTGACTGATAGAGTGATGACCTACGTTCATCACTTCAGAGGGTCGTACAGCAGCCATGGCTGCAGGGGAACTATGTTGGGGATCTAGGCATGTTGGATCATTACCTGAACCACTTGATATTATTTCGTCAATACGATGGCTGTTCTGATAAACCACATGTTCATGGCTTGGACTTAGCAAGTCAAAATCGTCAGGCGCAAAATTTGAATCTGTGTTGTCGAATTGTAGCAAGTCTGTATCACATCCCAGCATTTCGAGAGGTTCTAGCTTGATATTAAAAACATCACCGTCCAAGTCCATGCTCTGAGTTTGCCACATGTGAGGGGAAGGTGAGTTGGGAGGAAGTGGGCTCAGGCCTACATTGCTGTAGTTATCTTGATAGGATATAAAATCATTGTGAGGTCTGAATCCCATACTGTTTTGGTTTTGCTGAGAAATCATTCCAGATCCAGGAGAAGGACTTTGCTGGTAGTGAAGGGGAGAAATGCAATTCTGGTGATAAGGAGAGCCTGCAGCATCTCCACTCCCAACAAACTGATCGCTGCTTCCTGAAGTAGCTATGCCGGAATTGGAATGCAGAGCACGGCTCAGGAGATTCCCATTTGAGTGCATGTGGGAGTCCATAAGTTGAGACTGCTGATGTCGAGGTATGGGAACTCCACCAGAAAAGCTGCTCTCCATCATCAGACCATCACCATTACCCCAGTCAAAGAGGAAGTCTTCTTGCTGAAAAATAAAACAGTCATTATTTGATTAATTATAAAATTTTCTGATTTGAAGTGTGAAGAAAAAGTGGAATTTGAAATTGCATATATACTTCTCATTTTCTTCCTTGTTCAAATTACAAGAAAATTAAAATGAAACCTTAGCCTACCACATAAATACGTACACTCAGAGATTTATACTCATTGCAGAATATGAAATCCACCCCAATTTTATGAGCATACAAAATCATGAAATGTACAACAGTGCAAGGCAGGTGTCCTTGAAATTGATTTCACAAAAACTGCATTTTAAGGTAAAAATTCTTCGATTTTGTTGTGCTGCAAAATTTTATTGCAGCAATTTTCTAGTGCATCTATTGCTTAACACCTGACATCAAGCCTTTGCTCAAGCAACAATGCACAATATGATATCCATGCACAAATTTTGCCTTATCAGTTATTACACCCAAAATTTCTTTCCAATTGTTTTAATAACAAAATTTAATGCATTGTCTGAAGTCACAATTTCAAACTTGGTAAATATACTACATAACTACAGTAATACAATCAAGTATATATTTATTTCAATAATCAGCCAAGGCAGCCACATTGGTTTATTTCCAAGGCTAGTATATATTAATGATAATAATATTGACTAAAATACCATAAATAACTATTATTGATGGTAAATAACAATAATATTAACAGATCACAATGGAGGCCGTGAACGAAGTTGGTGCATTGTCCCATGCCGCATATTGCCTATAGCTATGAGTACAAATTTGTAAAGCATAATTCAACCCAACTGTTCCAGAGTTGTTGGTTATTACCATAGCTGTCAGAGTGATGGGATGATACAGGATAATTTTCTCTATCCCAGCTTAGGCTGGGGGCACAGGAGAAGAACTTCAGTCCCCCTGAAAAAAAGTCATGAATTTGAATGGACTCCATTTACACACTTCACACATCTAAGGGGAAAATATAAGAATTTTACTTCAATGTAAAGCAAACATAACAATAGAAAAAATTAGAGAACAGTATGGGACAAATTTTTAAAAATTTCCACCTAGACATCTCAATCATAATTAAATGTTTATTAGCAACAGAATAGCCCCTAGTTATTCTGAATACAGAAAGAGAGGCAGTAGTGAGCTCAACAGACTTTTCAGTTGTCTAAGCATTTTCATAATTTACTAAACTCATGATAAATGTGACTAATGAATAAATACAGTGGGGGGAAATAAATATTCGTACACTTGAAAAATCGTATTTTAATGTATGCAAGTACACAAACTTAACAGGAAAAGTGATTTAAATTACATATGTATAGAGACGCATAGTATTCAAAAATACTATCAAAAGAAATTAAATCTCAAAGCAACAAAAAACAATGCAACATGTTCACTTTTCGGGTGAAAAAAGTATTCGTACAAAACAATAAATCCGCATTATTTTAATTTAATACTTGGTTGAATACCCTTTATTCAGCTCAACAGATACCAGTCTATTTCTATACTTCTCAACCAATGATTTGCAGATGCTGACTGGTATTTTATACCATTCTTCTTGGCACACCACCTTAAGATTCTCAATGTTTGTTGGGGACCTTTTCTTAATTTGAATCTTCAAATACCGCCACAAATTTTCAATCGGATTTAAGTCCGGCGACTGGCTTGGCCATTCCATAACGTGTACATTTCTATCAGCGAACCATTTCTTTGTGGATCTTGCAGTATGCTTAGGATCGTTATCCTGCTGGAAAATTCAATCACCAGGTAGCTCTAGTTTCTCAACAGAAGTCGTCAAATTATTTTCCAGGATGCTCTGGTAGTTTGCAGCATTCATCCTACCATCTATAAGTGATATGTTACCAACACCTTTTGCGGAGAAACAGCCCCAGATCATGATGTTGCCACCACCAAACTTTACAGTAGGCACAGTGTTCTTTGGAAGGTAGGCTTAACCGTCTTTCCTCCACACATGGTGACAATAATTTCGACCGAAAAGCTCAATTTTTGTTTCGTCCGTCCAAAGAACCTTTTCCCAAAAAGCATAGTCTTTAGAAGTTAACATGTTGCATTGAGATTTAATTTCTATTGATGCTATTTTTGAATACAATGCGCCTCTATACATAATATAAATCACTTCTCCTGTTCAGTTTGTGTACTTACATACATTAAAATACGATTTTTCAAGTGTACGAATATTTATTTCCCCTCACTGTATATGGATGAAATATTTTTGAAAAAGATTTTTAATTTGTAAAGAGAAATTTATATTCGACAGAAAGAAAATATTATATAAACTTATTGCAATATTTAAATATATAGTAGTAGATTGTTGCAGAAAGGGCAATGAGAGCTTGCCATTAATTAGCTTGCTCAATGAATACTTTTTTCCAGCCTGAAAAGTATTACATAACCAGAAATCCTTGCTCGCAATTGAGCATAATAAGTCATATGTAAGTACGATTTTCAAAGCAAAGATAACTAAAAATACATTTTTACTCTTCCTAATAGAAAAAGAAAAATGTTTTAAAATATCCATCATTGTCTGAAGAAAATGGTAAATTATTATTCACCAGTTAGTGACAAATTTCAATAAATCATGGAGACATGCATTATTAAATTTTGATTTGAAGCAATTTTTCAAGGGAACAGAAACTGAATTGTAGTAGCAATTTCTAATAAGCCCCAATGGCATATAATTTCAAAAGGATCTGATGGCAAGATATTTAAAGCAAAGAAGTGCAATCAAGATTGATGATAGAAAAAATGCATCAGCCACCATACATGTTAATATTCAAACTGAGATGCAGGATTCAGATATTTGAACAAAATTTATTCACCAGATCTGTTTGGAATGGGAAGTCCTCGAGTCAGAAGGTGCTTAAATTAATATAAACCACTGTTTTGAAAATAACTTTGGATATTTGAGATTCTTGTGACATGTTCAGGTGAATGGGAGAAAAAGGTGTTAGGCAAAATTGCTTTGGCTTTGAAACATGGGACTGGAAGTAGGTCTCAATAATCAATATGGTATGTCACGTATGTGTCCTACACCTACAGTACTTGTTTATATATTACCCCTACAATAATCTACTGCACATGAATTGGGCAAAATCACGCATGAATCTGGCTAATTTTTCCCATTCCTATGATTCCCGTGGCCTTTTCACAATTGATTCAGTTAAAAATAAGAAAAATTGCCTATTTTTACCTGAAAATTTAAATCACCCTATAACAAATTATTTTGCCTGCACTTTTTGGAAACTTCCGAACCACACAGCCACTACTCTAAGGCAAGTTGTCTTAATGACTTAATCCTTTAGGTGGTATTCCAGCAAGTTATGGTATCACATATCAAAATTTATAACCTAGAAAATAAATATTACAGGATAACTTGTCAAAAGCAATTCAGTATTCAATATTTTGCTAAATTCATACATAAATTTCTCAGAATTTGTCAAACTTCTTAAGTTCTACAATTGTACTTATGTACTACTCTAATATGTTTTTATTTCTGTAAATTTGTAAATTTATGGTATACCTATGATATACCATAAAAGAACTAACTTATTAGGAATAAAATATTGTTGTACCGTACGCTTGTACCTACCTACTCCAGAGTCCAGAATAAGGGAAAGAACAACTTACTTGTGAAAAACACATTGTGGGGAAAAAAATTCCAAGTTCTCATTCTAACATTAGTAACATTATAACGTGAGTTCTGAACGCGACTCACATTTCTATTATAGAAACTAATTAAACTACACAAGTCCGTTACTCCTATATGTTGTTATAGTTATAGGAGCCTCCTATAACAACATTATGATTAGATGAAAAACTAAAGATTTATTAAGGAACCACTCAAATATCTTTAACAACATTACCTACTTCAAATTAGGCTTATATGATTTTATGATCTAGCTAGGGCTATACACAACAACAATGAGGTGACGGGTCCCAGCTGCCAGATAAGAGAGTTAGGTCTCACACAGCACCAGCACTTGTCGCTCATTTGGCACCTCTCTCTCGACACAAATAAACACAACTTCATAGACCACACTTGCTAAGAACTTTTCTGCTCACCTTTTAGATAGGACCGAAACCTTTATCTAAACTGTATCCCAGATAGATTTTAGATGCTGCTACTGCCGTATTCTATCGGTTAAAGTTTAACTTCGCTAGATAACACTATTGCCACAGTAACTGATTTAAGATTATATTTTCGCACACAACCTTCCTCAACAAGAGTCTAACTCGCACTAAGTTGCCAAGTCTATGTTATTCTCTGAATCACGTGATGTTGAAGTGACGTGGGAGAGGCTCTTCCTTTTGATTGGTCAGCAGCCTTAACAACAAATGTTTCTACCAATGGCTGAGCATATTTGGAGGGTGTGTTGTGTTTACAGTTTGTACTCTAAATAGTGCAAGAATTTTTAATTTAAATAAATTTTCCGAGGATTTATTCCAGCATTTGACAAGATGAAATTTCAAGTTCTTTAAAAACACAAGCTCAACGTTATTTCATATTGGAAAAGATAGAAGTTTGTGAATACGTTTGGAATCTTTCAAGGTGCCAAATGTTAAATTTCCTCTAATTTAAAAACGCCATTCATACGAAAGTGTGATTTTATTAACTAAAAAAATTATTAATAATACTTTTATCAACGTTCCCTTCATTGAAACCAGCAAATCTATGACTCAAAGTTTTCGGAGCACAATTTGTTTCATATTTTTGGCACGCACTTCTTGTGTACGCTCACTTTTCGTGTACGTTTGTGAACGAGGAATCCTAGCTTACACTGAGTTATCTTCCACACCTGCCGGCAAACTTTTCATTATACCCTAATAATGTGATTGTTACCGAACATGCTCTATATGTAAGCATTTACAATTATAGTCACCGAAAAATAATATTTAAACCATAAGCGACACATTGGAATTAAAAAGAAATAGCAGAGGAAATTATTCTTTACTATGGCGGCCAATTTGATATAGGTACTTCAGTAAATATGCTTAAAATATGATCCCTTTTAATTTAAAAATTAAATTATCAGGAAGAATTGAAGAGGATAAATAATTAGCAAAAGGAAAAGAATAGTTGTATGTTCCCTCTCGGTAGACCTCTGGCGATGAGGCCCGACTGAGGGCAAGTAAGGCCCCACCGAAGGCTTGTGGAGGCTTCTCTTTATGATGAACTTATCTAAAGATGTTGCAACGGATTTAAATGTCGAGGAAATCTTAATAAATTTACATGTTGTCATAATTTCGCGTCACGTTTAACGGAAGAAAGAGAAGTAAGAAAGAAGGAAATTTTGTTCCGATGGTGACGCATGTTATGTAATCAATGCAGATGTATCGGACTTGAACATTATTCAGTCTCATCATAAATAAAAATTTTCGTAATAATAAATGCAACAACAATTTGGTAAAGGTAAAACAGCCATCAACTGCACCACTACTCACATCTTAAAGTTACCGAATTTTAGCAAGAAAATCTCTCTTCTCTACCGACAGCTGTTGAGCGGTTGCTATGGCAACTCATCTCGGCTCCGAAGTTCGTGTCGCGCGCCGATCGTCGCAGCTTACGATAGCCTTTCTGCGGGAGCGAACATTGAGCTTCAAAATATTTCCATAATTTAGAGCGACGTAATACCATGAAATCTGAATGGATTCATGTTTCTCAAACCTTCATGCTTCTCGAATTACCATGAAGGTAATTTTGAGACCGTGAAACGCCTGACACAAGATCTTAGAACTTGAGCATCTCTGCGAACAAACTTTGATCGCATTTTCTGGATAGCATTAGCTTACAAGAACGAATTATTTTTACCTTAAAATGATGCGCCATCAGTCGATAAGGGCTGAGGCGGCAGCGTCATAAGAAGTATCTTATCAGTAAAAGTATCTCTAGGTGCTCTTAATAACAATAATAACAATAACTCTAGATTAAATGACAAGCGATAACGACTCTGATGCAAGTTCCGCTGGAATTGATAACCTTATTGAGTTGCCTGTAGAAGGCCTCCCGCGTACAAGAGCATATTAAAGTGGGCTAAAGAAAAGTAAACTGACACATTATTCATGCGAATAGTGTTTCACATTATTTACATTTAAGAATTTGACTTAGCAAAGAAATTCTTGTCTTTTATTGATGTGTCCTTTATTTATTTAACAACTCAAATTTGCACACAAGGCTTGCGCTAAAATTCTTACTGAACATTGGCAGCCTCATTTTTCCATAGATGGCTACGGTAATAAGCGACAGAAAAAACAACCGCGGATTCCATCGCCAAATGACTTCAGGAACAACAAGGTTAACTTAATTAGTCGCTCATCTAAAGACGTATTTAGGCCTCATTATTTACCTTTAATTTAGCATCATTATGGATAAATGTTGTTCACTTCTATGAAGAAATCATATAAATTCGAAATGAATCATCACAATCGTATGCAACTTTTGAACTGAATTTAACAATCGAAAACCAACTCGCTATACCACATCAAACGCAGTTAAAAATGTATATATTCACATTACAATTTCACGAATAACCAAAATTTTTCCGAAATTCGAATGGTTTTCAGTGTCATGAGCGATAATTTATTGCACCGTGCGATCTCAAATGAGAGCAAGGATAGCTACGTGTTTTTATTGCAGTAAAACAGCCATGAAATTAAACTCAAATCTATAGTGCGTATTTCCGTAACAACAGCACCAGGATAAAGTCGAATCAAGAGCGTATTTCCGTAACAACAGCACCAGGATGAAGTCAAATCAAGTGCGTATTTCCGTAACAACAGCACCTGGATAAGGTCAAATCAAGTGCGTATTTTCGTAACAACAGCACCAGGATAAAGTCAAATCAAGAGCGTATTTCCGTAACAACAGCACCAGGATAAAGTCAAATCGAGAGCGTATTTCCGTAACAACAGCACCAGGATAAGGTCAAATCAAGAGCGTATTTCCGTAACAACAGCTGCATGATAAATCCGAATCAAGAGCGTATTTCCGTAACAACAGCACCAGGAAAAAGTCAAATCAAGAGCATCTTTTCGCACAAGGCGAAGACAGCAACAACCACAGGCTAGAGAGCAGCACGTATCGAGGCGAGGCATTGAGCCTATATTGCCTCCCTCGGTTGGGCCCCACTGCGGCACAGCTGCAGCCGGAAAAAAAACAAGAGGTCATATTGTCCTAATACTAACACACTCTCCTGACCCAGAGCACGAACATATAGTACACGTAGCACTGATACGCATTTTTGTTGCGTCAGTATGGATCAAAATAACGTATACAAGGGCAAAAAAATGTAACTCAGTACTCACTGTAGTGAGTGACAGAGAGCGCATTTTCTCGTCGACGAAAACTTGAGGTCACGGACGGACAGACAGACGGACGGACAGACAGACAGACGGACATGGCGAGCACAATAGTGCATTTTTTCCATAAATGAGAAAATGCGCTAAAAAGGCTTCGCTTCCAAGGAAATGTCACACTAAGTTCTTTGTGTGCTATAGTGCCACCGAAGGTTCTAGCCAAGACGCCAAGCGAGTGGCGGCCTCTCGCCCAGCTGTGCCACTCGCAGGGCCTCCACTGACATCTCTTGCCTTCACTTCACTGAGGTATGTGGCTCCACTGACCCGCTGAACTGCCATGAACTTGTACGACTCACATGACTCTATATTAAATCAAATTATATCAAAATATATCATATATTATTTCCATATTTAAAGATTTTTTAAATATCATTAAATATTTTGGTTTCTTGGTATAATATTATTTACGATTCGGTTCATGATGACAATTAAAATTAAATTTAATACCGAAAAGTATACTATGCGAGAACTTAAAATTTTGCAGCTAAAGCATAGCCAAAAAAGCTGAGTGAGGGTTGATCGATGTTAAAAAATCTCTGTAGCGTGGGTTTCATAACGCATAATTGCTGATACATCAAATGAATTCGCCATATAAAGACATAGGACATTAGCTTCATTTTAGGCACTAAACGTTGTGCGACATTTTAATGTACCAAATATATAGGTAACATTTTAATTTACTTACTATGTAGGTAAACCAATGTTCTACATTATTTCACAATTTTCCAGCCGCAGCCAGGTATTCTCTGTCGAAGTAAGCATAAATCCAGCCCGATGTTCGATAACACTTCGTTATCAATTCTTCAAGCTTTTATTCTGCATCATTGAAGTCTGGCATCAAAACAAGTCGCAGTTCAATGGCCTCCCGCCTCCGCCTAAGTTTGTTTGTTGCTCACTTGCACAGAATTGAACAGATAACCGTGTGAACATTTGGTAATTGGTGCAATCTCATAGCCAAGACATGAACATAAATACTTCTACATGCATCAAAAACATTTGACAGCAACATACTTCGGCTCGATAAGACGACATTTCTAAAAGTCGCAAGCGAAATTCCTGTCAGAAACAAACTCAGGTCTGAAACAAACTCAAATCTGAAACAGACTAAGATCTGAAGCAAACTAAGATCTAAAGCAAGCTCAGGTCTGAAACAAACTCATATCTGAAACAAACTCGAATCTGAAACAAACTCATATCTGAAACAAACTCATATCTGAAACATGCTCAGGTCTGAAACAAACTCATATCTGAAACATGCTCAGGTGTGAAACAAACTCATATCTGAAACAAACTCATATCTGAAACAAGCTCAGGTCTAAATAAATTAGATCAGATTGTAATTATTCTGTTTAGGGCTCGCGGTGCAAGATCGTCGTTGGTGCACACAAACTGCACACGCGCACAACTCGTGTCCCGCAGCGATTAGGGAGCAATCAGTGACCAGAGAGAGACCACAAACACTGACATGGGAGGGCAGGACGTTGAACTTCCTATTTGTGAAGTGTGCAGACGTAGTCAGCAAAACAGCTTTTGATTCTCGATCGCTTCTTGTGCGCTAATGGTCTACTGGATGGGCAATGGTCTAATGCTGATATTCGAGCGGGACTTTGATGGACGCTGACGATTCGTTGGCGCTCCAAGTATGAACGCGTTCATAAACAGACTAGATAAAGCTATGGAAAAATATATGTTCAGATTTGAAATGCCTAGCACCATATCGAACCCGGTGGAAGTCTAGTAGCTATTTCAAACTTTCGTCAGTCATGAAAAGATCCGGTCAAATGAAACTATATTAGATCTTCTGTGAACAAGGCACGAAAAGTAAAAGAATCGGCGACAGGCCACATCAGGCCTACACTTCAGCGCCGAGATCA